GCTGTTCCCGTGCCTGTCTCGCCTCCCGTAATTGTTTAAGAGGATGTAAGGAGTAGTGTTTGGAAACTGGCGTACTGTAAGTATGTCTCGGGTGTGGGCTCGCTCCTCTCGTCCAGACAGGCAGATGAATTTTGTCTCAGACGTGTATCTTGTTGGATGTTAATGCACACACTCTGATTCTTCTCGGGAAATCTGAGAAATTTTTGGAGCCATTCATAATGGGGTATTCGGGAATTTTCTGTTTGAATGTTGTTGTTTAAGATTCGTTACCTGGAACAAAAAGTTCCAAGCAGCACGGACTATGGTGAGGCCGTGTTTCTGTTTGAAGTATTGCATCTTGAATTATAAGAAATAAGATGGTAACTGTTTATAGCGGCAAGAGTAGCTGGCGAGAGTACAAGGAGATTAAATAATTTTTTTGCAAGTTGGGAAGCTGATGCATAGCTTGTACTCACGTAGTTGTGTTTGCAGGGGTTGAGCTTTGGTTCTTTGGTCCCGCCTCTGAACTGGTGTACAGATTCCTGGCCCTATTGGGCTCTATCGTATCTACATTTAAAACTATATGAAGTCACCCTCCACCTCATCACTGCTTAATGTATTCCATTTGTTAACTACCTATGTAAGAAGGTTGTTAACAGCCGGCGCTCCATTTGTGAGTTGGGGGCTGATGTAGTGCTTGTGAGTTGGTGGCTGATGCAGAGCTTGTGAGTTGGTGGCTGATGTAGAGCTTGTGAGTTGGTGGGTGATGTAGAGCTTGTGAGTTGGTGGCTGATGTAGAGCTTGTGAGTTGGTGGCTGATGTAGAGCTTGTGAGTTGGTGGGTGATGTAGAGCTTGTGAGTTGGTGGCTGATGTAGAGCTTGTGAGTTGGTGGCTGATGTAGAGCTTGTGAGTTGGGGGCTGATGTAGAGCTTGTGAGTTGGTGGCTGATGTAGAGCTTGTGAGTTGGTGGCTGATGTAGAGCTTGTGAGTTGGTGGCTGATGTAGAGCTTGTGAGTTGGTGGCTGATGTAGAGCTTGTGAGTTGGTGGCTGATGCAGAACTTGTGAATGAGGGCTGAGACTGGTTTATGTATTTAAACAGATGAGCATCAACAAGGGGGAGCGCTGCACGGTTCACGACAACAGCAACCGCGTCAAATGGAGCGTGGTGACCAACTCCGGCAACAAGGGCATGGTGCCGGGCGCCTGCTTCACCATTCCCCCACCCAACCAGGAGGCCATTGACGCCGCGGAGAAGCTCAAGCGCCAGTACGAACGATGCATCGCCCTATGGCAGAAAAAACAGTTGCGCATGCGTCAGAACATGATCTTTGCTACCATTAAAGTTGTCAAGAGCTGGGACTTGGCCCAGGTTAGTTGTGGACTCGTTGAACTCAACACAAGTATATACACTTGTGTGCTACAGTTATGATATATGAGCTTTTCTGGTCTTTCAAATATTTCGATATCATAAGGTCAACTGATATATATATATATTTGTGTTTGTGTATGATACAGTTCATAGCGATGGGAGCAGAGCAGCGCAACGCCATCCGTAAAGCCCTAAACGAAGACGCAGAGAAACTGCTGCAGGAGGGCGACCCGAACGACCCGCAGCTGAGACGACTCAAGCGGGAGATTGACGAAGTCAACAGACTCTTCGACGAGTTCGAGCGACGCGCAAATGGTGAGTTTCCTGTCGCATGAAGGCCGTCTGCTACAGTTATCTAAACCTACCTTCCTCCCCCCTGTCTGTCTGTGTCTGTCTCTCTGTCTGTCTCTCTGTCTGTCTCTCTGTCTGTCTCTCTGTCTGTCTCTGTCTGTCTGTCTCTGTCTGTCTGTCTCTGTCTGTCTGTCTGTCTGTCTGTCTGTCTGTCTGTCTGTCTGTCTGTCTGTCTGTCTGTCTGTCTGTGTCTGTCTGTCTGTCTGTCTGTCTGTCTGTCTGTCTCTGTCTCTGTCTGTCTGTCTCTGTCTGTCTCTGTCTGTCTGTCTCTCTCCCCCCCCCCCCCCTCTCTCTCCCTCTCTCTCTCCCTCTCTCTCTCTCCCTCTCTCTCTCTCCCTCTCTCTCTCTCTCCCTCCCTCTCTCTCTCTCTCTCTCTCTCTCTCTCTCTCTCTCTCTCTCTCTCTCTCTCTCTCTCTCTCTCTCTCCCTCCCTCCCTCCCTCCCTCCCTCTCTCTCTCCCTCCCTCTCCCCCCTCTCTCTCCCCCCCTCTCTCTCCCCCTCTCTCTCTTTGATAAACTAAAATAGTTCTCGCACATCTCGATTGAATGCTGTTAATTTTCTCGTGAAATCCAGATTAACAATAATTTGGCCAATATTTTAAGGTTGTGATGGGTTTGTTATCCATATGCATGGTACACGATGTTCAATATAAAAATTATCATAGGGATGCGCATAATATTTGGTATCGGTTAGAGGATATGGATAATAGCGAACATAGACAACCCCAAGTTTATGGAAAGCTGTCATATTGAGTCCACCGTGTTATCAATTAATTAATAGATGTTGGTTACTAATATATATTTTATACAGTGTTTCAAAGCGCACTACTAGAACATACTGACTTATGGCAAAATCTATTGCATCTATCGAGAAGCATGTATTGCCCTGTTTCAAAGACTTAATTGAGTACTCGACAAATACATGTATGTAACGAAATTGTACAGTAACCCAGTTAAAAAGGCTGGGTATATCGCAGCCCCGTTGTGGTGAGAAAACCTGACTGCAGTCAAAAATCAATTCTGACTGCAGTCAGGATTGATTTCCAGAGAAAATGGGAACGGCGGCGAGGGAGATGGCAGCACCGGCGAGTGTTGTCAACATGGCTGCGGGTCCCTGGCCGCGGTGCCAGTCATGCTGCACTTCTTCTCGGGGCTTCCACTGATCACACCCCTTCCCCCCACAACCTTGCTCATGGTTACACCTAGTCGCGTCTAATGGACACCTCTTGAACGTTGTCATAACCCATGTGCCAAACTTGATGTGATACGAGACTGTGATATTGTGGTTGTGAAAGTTAGCAACGATGATTCCGCCTTACGGATACATGACTGTCTTGGGACAGATATGGGATACACATGGCAAGATATTCAAGTGCAGATTAAAGAAGTCTGGCGATGATGTAGGGGAATGTTTAGAAGGCACAGTGTTGTTTTTGCATAAGGTGACAGTGTGTGATGACTCTGCCATGTGTAAGAATGCACAATGTAAGTGCAGTTGTCACGAGGAGAAGAGCAGTACTGGCAGCGACCAACCATTCTTTGAAACAACGGAGACCTTTAACGAAAGTGGCTTTTCCTCCTTTATTGATCCAGATGTGTCTGGCCAAGGTATATGATTTCAACTGGATAAACAAATTTTGTTGACATTTTGCATATATGATTATTGAACTACACAATACGGCAGTTTAAGGTGCACGTGGGGCGTTGGGCGTCAGTATTGTCAGATTTGACATTTTATTATATAAAGTTGACTTCTCTCTTGGATGGCAATATGGAGTTCGATTAACTGTTCTTCATTTTAAAAATAAATAATTTAAAAACCTAATAAAGTTTAGTATGCAATACATGGTTATTTTTTATACTTCAGCGTGATAAAAGCAGGAGCAGCTTGTCAACTAGTGCGTCACTTGTCACTGTTAATCCAAAAAACTATGTTTTAGGCGAGTTTTCAGTGAAATAATTAAATATTTTTATTAAACAATATATTGAAGCATTTAGTAAGCACACGTGCACTTGATTACATTTCTTAAAGACCTATTGAGCTCGCAAAATATTGCCATTCATGTTAGTCGATATTCTCCCTGCCCCCCCCCCATTCCCATATCCTCTGTCACTGTCTATACCCCCTATTTTGTGCCTGCAGGAATGAGCATTAGCTCTTGGACCCCAATTGCCAGCCACAGGGAAAACGCTCTCAAAGACCTCAAAGCTTGATCCTGTGGGTATGGGGGTAGAGGGAGGGTGTGTGTGGGCGTGTCTGTCTCTTCTCCCTCCTCCCTTATTCTTCCCTTTCCTCTATTACTTTGCATTAATTTTTCATTTGAAGTAATGAGTATCACTTTGGGTATGTACAGAGCCCAAGCCAGGAACAGTGTTGGTTGAGCAGTGCAATAGCCTGAAGGAATACCTTGACATGATGGAGAAGATGCTCATCCAAAGGTGCCTGGCCTCCATTCCTAGGGATCTGGATCTCCTTGAGCAGTTGGTCATTGAGCACAAACAGTTTGAAAATGACCTCTCTTCGCACGAGCTGGAGGTAGGTGTGCGGAAGGCTGAATTGTTGAACTTTATAAGTTTTGACCACATATCTACTTAGTCGTGTGAGATTTAAATGGTGGTAGTACTTTGTCTTAAACTAGTTAAGGAGAATAACTGTTCTTATTTGCTAAAGGTATGCGAGACATTAAAAGCAAAACATGAGCTTTTAATTTTGCAAAAGTCTGTAAGGTTTATAATTCCTGGCTTCCTCTTTCATTTAATGTATGAAACTGCTCTCTGATCACAGTTGCAGTACAGATCATGTGTAACTAGTACAATACAATACTGTAAAACAGCAGAAACTGTTGTTTAAAGAACACGTACAGTATCTTGTACTGACTTTTTCTAAGTACTGTACAGTACATATTAAAACAAACAAAAGGATTTTATAAAAATTTCCTAATATAATTATGAAAATAAGTTGGATTAGATTTTTAATTAAAAAATCAGGAATTTTCACATCAGTTGTTAATATAAATTATCGAAATAGGTTGAGAGTATCCAGAAGAACTACCAGAACCTGTCCCGTCGAACACCAGCCATTCAAAGGACAGTCGAGTCCATCACACAACAGTGGGATCGTATTTGGGCCCTGTCACATGTTTACATTGAGAGGTATAATGTGCAGTATATGTTTCATTATTTTAAAATTCAATGTTATTGCTGGATTTTATCAGAATAGATAATTACTGTATCAATTTTTCAGTGTTTTTCCCTAAATGTGGACATAAACTTTGCACAGTACTTATGAAATTGTATGTTATAAGGGTAACAAGGTAAGGCAAGGTATATGTGGAACTTTATGAATACCATAAACAAAATGCTTTTAGTGCATCATTGTATTTTAATGGTTATGTATAGTACTATTTTTAAGGTGTTCTTGGCTATGTTGGCAGATTTTTTAATTTTTTAATTTGTTTTTGTTCAAGAATGAAATGTGTGGAAATGGTTGTGACAGGCATTGAGGAGGGTTCACAAGTAGTTTCCGAAATAGAGTTGAAATTGGCTGAACACCAGGACCTGCCTGATGACCTGGATGACCTAGAGCATGAACACCAACAGTTGCTTAACATTCAACAAGTTATCCATGACCATCAGGTAATTCAGATGAGTTATAACAAAATACATAAGTACTGTGTTTTAAGCGTTTACCTTCTTGTAGGGTGAAAGGTTTTGTTTTATGCAATTTTTTTTCTAACAATGTATGGTACATAATGGGTGCTGCTTGTGGAATTTTGAAATACAGTATAATAAAATATAATACTGTGTATAATATTTATAATATATAACATGTATAGTACAGTATACTGTATGCAAAAAGTAAATTCACAAAATGGGCATTGTATCGGTTACTAAAATATTATAAAATATTAAATTAACGAATTTATAATGTTAATAATTAAAGCTGTCTGTGAAAAGATTTGAGCATTATTTTTTTTATAAAAAATCATAACATCTTCAAATATCTCATTGCTTGGTCTTTGTCATTATGGCACAGATAGACATACAACCATTAAAAAGTGACTGAATTTATTCGTAGGCGCTGATTGATCGTCTTCTTGAAGAATGCCGTAATGTTCGCACGCTTGTTGTTAAGTCCAGACCTACCCAAAAGATACACCCAGATGTTGATAAACTTGAAGAAGATGTGAGGAAACTTCGCATACGATGGGAGAATATTTGCTCACAGATCATAGAGAGGTCAGTATAATAAGATTATTTATCTTCTATTAACTATACAGTACTGTAGATGAATTTTATGAAACTTATTGTTAACATTAAAGTTAAGACAAATCATTAATAGACGAAATGTTTAAAATTTTTCAGGCTGCGAAGTTGTGAGGCTGCATGTGAGCTTCTTACTAAGTATCGTAATGGCCATGACATTGAAAAGGTAGAATTAGATGACATGAAGAATGGCCTCCGCAGTCAGAAGATTGAAGACCTAGGTCCCTCAGAGGCAGAAATCGAACTTGAAAGGCTGAGGGTAAGCCCAACCCTCTATATAGCAAGAAGCATACGTTTTCTTTCTGTCAAGATTTTCTAACTTACAGCATATCTTAGAACTATCAACATTTCAACAATTCTGCTCTTGAAACTTCATGAAAGCTCCTTTGTATAAATCTCTCAACTTAGGAAATGGAAGATTTCTTTACATTTCAAATACAATACATGGTACTTTTCTGTTTCTTCAACTGTTTCTTTTCAGTACTAACGCATAACCAGAATCTCCCACATCTCCATACACACACCTACAATTACCCAATCCTATTGTCCTTATCCCCCATCCCCTCTCAGAAATGAGGCTACGGATTACCACACTCCTCTTTATTTCAGGACGACCATGGACAAAGAAGAAAGACTAAGACTTTAAACTCCTTTTTTTCAGGGATTAAATACATTTTTACTTTCCAGGTTCATTAATGCATATGCCTTTTCTTTACAGAGTATGTACATGAAAATTATAGAGAAGAAAACAAGCATAGAACATGTAAATACCCTTGGCGGCCGATTCATACGGGAAGCCAAGGTATGTTTCACTATATGCACAAGCACACACGTACATTTTAGCACAGATATCACAGTATATGCACTCATGTTGTCACCAAAGTACATAAATTTAATGATTAAACATTTGATTTTAGTTCATTGCAGGTATTTCAGGTGGTGACTTTCAGAATTCTCCTGTATATTCCATAAAATCTAATTCTCATTACTCGGCATGCATTCCTGTTACAGGATAATCGAGAGTAATGAATTGGCATGTAAATATACCGTAATCGTAATAATGTTGGATTAGTATTGTTAACTGCTTTGGTGGCTTGAATCTCATTCTGTCGCTTTTCGTCTCATAGCAACATCGCTTCTAACCAATAATAACTAATACTAACCTCCACTAATTTACAACACCCCTGTAGATCTATGACTTGCGCCTGTCCCAGTACAAGGCCAGTCTAGAGGACGTTCACCCTAGTCTGGACGCGAGCCTAAGCAAGAGGCCTCGCATCCAGAGCGGGGGCGACAATGTCATGCAACAGCTTGACAAACTGAACAACCAGTACCAGTTCATCGCAGATGAAACTTACGATCGCATAGCCAAGATCTACAATCGTTTCCAGTATGAAAAAACCTTCAATGTAAGTACTTTCTTGTCTCTTCTACTGTATTGTTTTAAATTCTGACCTTAAGTAAAGCAGTTGTTATAACTCTTTAGTGCTGTATGCAGAGTACTCTACAGTAAATGTAGTTAGTTTAATTAAATTTTTAGATATTGTAATAATTGTTTAGCACATTAGTTGTGCTATAATTCTAGTACAGGACTGGAATATCTCAACAAGTTTGAAAGTCATGATTAACTGCTTTACTAAAGGAGTTGGGCAATTTAAGACCTTTGATATATGGTTTTGGGACTATATAGGAATAATGTAATGTAAAGCTTGATACCTATATGCTACAAATCACAAGAAACTTTGGAATTAAAATAAACTTGGATAGTTGCAACTTGTACAGAAGCAGTGGTGTGGTGCTGCCGAAGTTCATTGGAGCACCGCTCCGCCACCTTTGCAAGTGGATAATGGAATGGGGAAGGGGATGAGGGGGAAAGAGAAATGATGACTTGTGGGTGATGGTTGATCGTGGCAGGAAAATATTAGTACTGAATCATTAATAAGTTAATATTGTTATATTTCTTGGTGGTGTTAAAGATTCGGAAATTAAATTTGAATATATTTAAAAAGTAAACAGGTTGAATTGTACGAATCTGGAAACAATACCCGATGCACATGAATGCTTCCTTTCCATTTATGAGAGACCAACGGTACGAGACAAAGTTGCCAACCTAACGCTTTGGATATGAATATTCAGCGATAATGTTCTTGGCTTTAGCAGTAGTTCATTAGACAGGTATTCTTTATTCATACAGTAGTATATTTTAGTATTAAATACTAGGCAGGTAAAACCACAAAACTGGTACACACAGCTTTACATAGTTTAGTGCTTTTTGGGGGTGGTTCTAGCATTGTGTGAAGTACCGAGTTGGCAACTGCTTCTGTGTTTCAGTCTCATTAAAGTGGTGGCTGATGGTCCCTGGATTTCTCTCTAACACAAACATTTTTTCTCACAACCTCATCATGGCTTCTAGTAAAACAATGTTGACTGACTTTTTTCATAAACAAAATGTGAAGTATGAGAAGAATAACATACAGGAGACTGATAATGATAACAGTGAAGGTGGCAAAAGTTGTTTCGACTGCTACTAGCTCAAATTTTCAAACTGGATCCATATGCAATTCAGAAAGTAATGGGGCTTTGAAAGTATAACTTGTATCAATGTTCAGGTGTTTGGACTGAAGAAATGTGGAAAAAACAAAGGAAACCTATCCATGGTTAGACTTCAGGGATGATAAACTTGGGTGTAAAGTGTGTGCAAACATAAGCAGTGTAACACTTTTCATTTCTAAGGGTTTAAGACTATCAAATGAGTGGTAGATGTACCAAGCATCCTATTATGAAGCAGATCGAAGTGCACGCTTGAAGTCTTGGAAAAAAAAAAATGATCATAAACTGTCGAAAGCTCTCGCTGCTGCTTTATGTTGAAAATGTAGCTAGTGAAGATGCTCTTGGAAAATTGTGATACCATGAATGCTTTGCATCTAAAGACAACTTGTTCAATTTTGTGTTCTGCATATTATTTAGCTCAGAATGACAGACCATACTCTGATCACTTTGGCTTACTGGAACCACAAAAGCAAAAGGGTGTTGACATTGGAATGGGACTGCACTTCTGCACTACTGCCACAGAGATAGTTAATCACATAGCCATTAACATGGAAAATAAAATTCGCTAGCATATCAAGCAGATAAATGGCAAAATTTCTGTGATCCTTGATGAATCAACAAGAATGAGCACTAAAACAACCTTAATGTTTACTTGAAATGTGAAAGTGACAAGGAAGGTTATCCCCATTTCATGGTCTTTGATCGAACTGAACTACCTGATAAGAAAGCAGCAACTATTGCTAGGCCTCTATTGAGCTGTCTCAATCATCATGGGTTTGATGACTTGTATTTGAAACAGAACCTCGTAACATTTGCTAGTGATAGGGCAAGTGTCATGCTTGGTGTCAAATCTGGTATTGCAACAATTCTCAAGGAACATTATCCTGATATAATAATCTGGCACTGTCTTAATCACAGATTAGAACTTGCAGTAGGTGATTTAGTGAGAAACATTCATGGAATTAATCATTATCCAGCATTTATGGACAAATTGTACTCAGTGTACAGTCACATCTCTAAATCAAAAGGAACTATCTGAATGTGCCTCTCAATTTGAAAAACAGATTGCAAAATAGGCCGTGTTCTGAGTACCAGTTGGGTGGCAGCTCGCTTTGAACAGTTTCACCAGTGTGGAAAAATTATGAAGCACTTCATTTTGAAAAAGCAGTGAAAGATGAAACAAGATTTGAAAGACCTATAAAGGTCTGTTGAAAAACCTAACTTGAAAACAGTTTCTATTGAATTTAGCTCTTAATATGACATGAATTTGGATTACTGTCAGTGTGTCTACAGAAACACACTACTTCTATTGTGTATGCAGACAAATTGATTCAATGGTGCATAAGGTCATTACATGGACTGAAAGAGAAACCTGGCACTAGAACTTTAGAAGCTCAAAAGGCAATTGAAAAAGGGAAGTTTGGAGGAATTATTATAAGAAGCAACAAGAAAATTGTCTATTAATTATCAACAGTTTCTTACTAGTCTTGTGGACAATTTGCAGCACAGTATGTTCACGACAACAACCATGAAAGGCTCTCAAACTTCTGAATCTCAAAGTATGTATTAATTACTGCTAAGTGATATGTGTCCTTGAAAAAAACTACTGGCGTGATGAAATACCACCTAATTACAGAGAAGCTGAAATATTATCTCTTTTAAAAAGTTTAAGGTTTCTTCTTACTCTGCACTAAATACCTTCAGAGACAATGTGGAGGATCATAGATGCTGCATCCTCAAAGATTTTCACCCATTACTGAGCTGTTTACAAGCTTACAAAAATGAAATATTTAATCGTGCGACACATAGGAACAGGATAGGGAGTGACAACAAAGCCTCTGGTGGGGCTTTTGCAGGCCCCACCAGAGCTCTGACACCTATAAAATTGGCACTGCACCCCTGTATAAAGGTACATAGAGCACTACAATATTCTTGCATCGCATTAGTGTATTCCCTAGGCAACTGAGGTTGATTAGTATGATACACAAGCTATAGAGAGAAATGTTAAACCATGCCATCAACTAAAAGTAATATGCAGTATAGTCTGTATATCAATTATTGAGGTAGTCATACAATCTGTACTTCCTTACTTGAGGGTTACTTCTAAGAAAAGATCATGTTAAATTCAATAAATAAGCATGATCTCTAAGGATTTTGCATACAGTACTTTAGCTACAAAAATAAATACCCTTGTTTTACCTATGTTTTTCTGTCATTTATTTTATATCTATAAGAAAACTTTTCATGTTATTTATTATGGCACTCATAATTGTAACTTGTTGTTGGACAGGAACTAGTTATTCCTAATGGATTTAGAGCTATTGCATCCAATGTTTTCTACAGGTTTTACTGCAGGTATGTAATAAATGTGGATAAAAATACAATTGGTTCTAGTAATATATCCAGGAAACATGAAATTTATTTTAAAGGTTTTCTGCCAATGGCATGCAGCAATTTAATAGAATTGATCTAGTGTTTATGCCAATTGCTTGGGTGCCAATGAATCACAATAGCTAACCCAAACCCACACATTGTTAGATAGCTACTAAATTCTTATACTCTACCTGTGTATTAGCTAATTACATATTTTTAATATTTGCAAGTTATGCCATTTAATACTAAATTCAACAAGTAGCCAATGGAATCTGGTTGAGATCTTGAGTTTTATCGTGTTGTGGTTTCTAAACCAGAAATTATCCCAACATGTAATGTGCATCTCGGTTTGTTGTTGCTAGTTGCAAGAACATTTTGCAATTTAGTAAGCAATTTGCAAAGAAAGTTAATATTTTCATGCAAGAGAACCTCAGTCCTCTAGACTTTTCAGATTAGTAGCAAATGATAACTTTGAGGGTTTACTACAGTGATAAAACTTTATCAAAAACCTTGGGCCTTTTCAAAGGATTTTTTACTTAATTGAATAAAGTCCTTATAGTAGAAATGTTCTGTGCCTTGCTGTGTGTTCCAGCTCGCCCACCAGAGATGAGCTGGTAATTAGAACTGGGTGATCAGCCTTTGGTAGGTCATTTAGTTAACCAGTTACAAAGACTGTAAATTCACCTCTTGCCCTTTTTAACTGAAAATTAATGAACACTACTACTCGGATTGTCCACAAGATTAGGTATCCTGGGATACTTCACATACCGTGTCTATCTAGTTCCATTGAAGAATTACTCGTTGCCTGATGAACACACCAACTGCAATTTTACCCAAAATGTCCAAAATTTACCTTTTGAGGTCTCTTAGTTACATTCACCTTAGTTCAAAATTATTGCTTCCCAAAACATTATTAATTACGGTTGACACCTATTCACATCAGTATTATTTAAATATGCTCTGTGTGCCCTACACCCACATAATCTTCTTGGGCTACTTTACCCATTTTCAATTTACTTCAATGTAATTTTACTCATTAAATGTCATAAAATTTTCCTTGTGTAAGATGTTGAATTTCTCTTGAAATTAATTCAGCATCCTACTTTACTTCTTGCAACTTTAGAACATAACTATACCATTTACCATGTGGTGCTGTAGACTTCAACTCCTGAACCCAGCTATTCATGCTGGGATTCACTTGATCCATGTTGCCAGCTTGTTTTCACAAACCATAGCCAAATTGGGATTATTCCTCTTTGGCTTCTTGTACCACTAGAGTAGATAGATTGTCAATTAATTTGAAATTCTCCTACACCAGATAAGTCATTGTCAGCCCACTTGCACAGGAGTCTCCAAAATTAATTTGCTAATTTGGCTCCCTTCAATGAACCTATCATAATAATAGTTCTTGGATCCTCTAATATTTCCCACTACTACCCACAGGATGTGTAAGAGATGCATAATAAATTATAAAAATCAGGTACTC